AAAGGATCTAGGGCTTTGGCATCAGGCCGCTCCGGGTTGCATCCGGCTCTGCCACTTCCATCAGGGCAGTCGGAGACCACAGCTCTCTCTCATTTGGGAAGCAGGAGGCACCCAGCAGCCAAGGAGGAGAGAAGGGATGGGCATGGGCCAGCAGGCCTCCTAAGGATCACTCCAGCAACTGCAGGGTTAACACCTGGCCCGGTGGTGGAGGGACCTCCAGGACATCCCCTTCTCCCCTTCTCTCTCTCTCCCCCCATAGGGCTTTCAGAGCAATAGGTATTGCTAGGCCATCTCCCAAGGCGCCTCTGAGTGGGTTCAAACCCCCAGCCTCTTAGCCTCTGAGCTTTTTCACCACCCAATCTCCTCCCAACAAGCCCTGATGGTGTAGTGGATCCGTCTCGGACCGAGTTCAAAACCACCAGCCACTTCACAAGAGGAAAATGAGCCTTTCGACTCAACTCCCATCAGGAATGGGCTGCAGTCCAGAAATCCAGCCCGGATGCGTGATGGGGTGGCTACGGGCAGGCATCGACTCAAAGCTGTGACTCGCCTTCTTCCCAGCCTTTTCTTTCCAGCCTCCGACCTGGTCTAAGGTGTGGCAGGTGGGCCGTGTGTTCTGGGCACCGCCTGAAGGGGGCGGCTGCGAGCAGTGTGCACAGCCTGCTGTGTGTGACCAGTCGCCAAGTTCAAACCTTTCCCAGCTGCAACGGCGGGGTTGGGGCTGGCTTAATTCCTTGCTTCCAGCTGCCTGCCAGGCCCCCGGGCCCGGCTTGAAATGAGCCCAGCTGGCATAGCGGCTTCAGCCTCAGACTGCTAGCCCCCCAGCTGCTCTGAGAGACACAGATGCGGCTTCAGGAAAGGGCTAGAGACCCTGCGGGGCCGTTCTCTTGAGAACTCCCACCGAATGGCTGATCTGAAACCAATGGCAGTGGGTTGGGTTTGGAAGGTATGAGGGGGTTGGGTAGTGTGTGTGGTATCCTCAGCCCCTGGTGGGCTGTGGGCGTGTAATCCAACAACACCCTGTGCGTCAGGCTCAGCACCCAGGGGTTCCTCCCCAGTAGGCCCGCACCCACCAGCTGGCCCTACCGGTGTGGACACGCCAGACCCAAGGTCAGCCTCGGGTCAGAGGGCCAGGCCTGGCTATGTCCAGTGCTCACAACACCTCTCTTTGCTTGCCCTCAGCAACCCTGGAACTAAGGTCCTTCTCCCAAGAGGCTAGAACTGAAAGGACCCGGGGCCGGGGGTCCCAAGTTCTGCCAGCCGAGACCAGTGGCCGCTCCATCTGCCCAGGAGAGAGAAGAGGGCAGGGTCTTACTGACCAGCACCCACTCCTTGCCCTGGGGCCCAAGGCTCCTCACCAGCCACTGAAAGGAGGGGATTTCTGCTTCTCATGGAAACAATAGCCTGGAGTTGTCCCTCCGGCCTCCGGTCTCCCAGGTGGACCCAGCTGGCCTCAGCAGACCCTGAGCCGCCCACAGCCCCCAGCACAGCATGCCCTCCCTGCTCACCTCCACCTGTTCACGACTCCAGGGTCAGGACCCCATTCTGCCGCCTGGGAAACAGGCCCAGGGAGGGCCTGGTCCTGGCCCCGGGACTGGTGCCCGGCATGGGTGGAGTCCCTTCTGGAGCTGACCAGCCTCTGGGACTCTGGCGGCGGGTCCCCAGCGCCCCTCCCCTGGGGCCTTGTCTGTGCACTCAGAAGGGGGAACGGAACTGTGGCTCAGGCACGCCCCCACCGTCAGACTCGGGATGGGGTGCAGAACCTCCTCCCTCCCCTGACCTGGCGGAACAGCTTAACGTTGCCATTTAAAGGACTCGGGGCTTAGGGTTTGTCAAAGTCACTGGCTAATCTGGGGCTGGGCAGCGGCGCCCTGCAGCCCCTACACACAGCCCCCCCCTTCCTGGGAGTGCCCAGACGGGTCCCCAACTCCTTGCACGGGGGAGGGGTGGGCAACCACAGGGACTGAGAGGAAGGGCTGATGGGGGCCGACTCCCCAGAGATGGGGGTCCACAGAGCAGAGGCCAAGAAAGAGGGGATCAAGATCGCAGGGGGGAAAGACTCAGAGTGGGGGGAAGGCAAATTCAGAGATGGGGGAGGGCAAAGATCTGGTGGGGGTAACTGACAGGGGGTGCTGGTGGGGAGGTCTGTGCTGAGACCAGGGATGGGGCCCCCAGAGAAGTGGGGGTTGGAGTGGAGATCCAGAGAGAGACCCAGAAACAGAGACTGGGGAGGAGAATCATGTGGAGACCAGAGGTGGGGTGGGGACAGAGACCCTGAGAGGTGGGGGACAGAAAGCTGGAGGGCGGACCCAGAAGGGACATAGATGCAGACAAAGTAGGGAATGGGGGTGGGGGGGTCAGAGACCCAGAGAGAGAGGGGACAGAGGTCCAATCAGGGGCACAGAGCAGAGTGGCTACCTGAGAGCTCTTGGGGAAAAATGGAGACCTCAGGGCAGGTGGGTGGGGAGAGGGGCTTTGGCAGGGCTGGGTCTGCATCCCTAACGTGTCTAGATGTCCTGGGAGGACAGTGGCCAGAGCTGGGGAAGCCGGGGTGGTGTGTGTGTGTGTGGGGACGGGACAGAAAGGGAACAGCTCACCCAGGACCCCTGCCGGGCTCGGCACGTACCTGGTGGGGCGGCCCACACCCATGCCTCCTTGGCTGAGGCTCCTCCGCTGGGGTGGAGGGAGGGCCTTCCCTGGGTGCCGGGGGCCAAGCACCTGACCACGGCGTCTACAGGCGGATCAGAGGCCTGGACGCAGGGGGATGGGGGTGGGGCCAGCTCAGAGCCGCAGAGGGGGAGCCAGGGAGGCCAGCCAGGCCTGGTGCTGGGCTGCAGCCCAGGAGGGCCAGCAGGAGATGGCAGCAGGGACAGGGAGGGCAGGGACAGTGGGGGACAGGGAGAGAGCCGGCAGGCTGGGAGGGAAGGAGGGGAATGATGACAGAGGATAACAATGGGGAGGGGGAAGGGGCCTGGTGGCGCAGTGGTTAAGCACTTGGCCCCAACTCTGCGGCTGCCAGTTTGACCCCACCAGCTGCCCCAAGGAGCGTGAGCCTGGAAGCCTGGCCCGTGAGACCAGTCTTGGGACCCCCCCCACGGGGCGGCGGCACCCTTTCCTATGGGCTTGATGGCCCTCCAGGGGTGGGGCGTCCAACAGGTGGGGGCAGCCCTGATGCCACTGAGGGAGGCCGAACTGACTGATGACAGGTGGAGGGTGGGACTGAGCTGGGCAGGACTGGGCCACACCCCCTCCTCACCACGGTTGCATTGGGACAAATCAGGGTCACACACGGCACAGCTGTTGCCCCACCGGGTCCTTTACTGTTCCTCAGGGACCCCCTAGCGGGGAGCCCAGCTGGGACCAGTCGGAGGTCAAGCTCAGTTCTGCCCGAGACCCCCTCTCCCACTTGGTCAGGCTCTGGCAGAGCCAGCACGTCCGGAGGAGGCCAGCGGCCCAAACGTAGGACCCTGGGCCCAGAGGGCAGAGGGTCGGGCAAGACGTGACAGCTGACCAGAGCGCCATGGGCCAGGTCAAATGTTCTGCTGAGACGGGTCTCTGGGTGAAACTGGGTCGGGTCGGAAGGCAACAGGTCACATAAGTCCCCCCAGGGACCAGGACGTCAGGGAGATCACGGTGGTGGCTGAGCATGGTCCCCCGTCCGTCTCAGACACTGATGGTGCGGAAGACGGTGAAGCCGGACAGAGCTGTGCTGACCAGCAGCCCCGGGCACTGCGGGTGCCAGTGCAGCTCCTTCAGCTCCGTCTCGCCCTGATGCACAAACAGGAGCTGCTGCGGGAGCCCCTCCAGCCCGGCCCCGGCCTCGCTCTCGGCCTCCCCGTCCCGCTCCACGGCCAGGTCCCACTGCGTGATCTGGTCGTCGGCCCCAGCTGCGGCAAAGACCCCGGCGTCCTGGGGGTGCCACTCCACAGAGGTGATGGGGGCCGCGTGCTGCTTGAAGGTGGCCACTGGGGAGCCGGCCTGCAGGGGGAGGGCAGGTGGAAGGGGGAGGGATGGCTGGGCACCCAGGCAGAACCCCCTGTCCCTCTCCCAATGAAGGGTGGTATGTGTGTCCCAACAGTGTGAGATCACAGCTCATCCCGAATTAAGGCTACTGTCCCGAGGGCTGCTGGGAATGCTGGCTACCCTGAAGAGGAAGGGAAGGAGGGGAGACCAGGTGGCCTGGTCCGGCAGCTTCCACTCTTTCCCCGCCCGGAACCAACCA